CCAGCCCTGAACCATGTATGGTCATTTAGGTGAACTGGTGAGAGGAGTTTACAGCTGGGGTGGTGATCTGGGGATAGTTCCCCTGGACTCTGACTCAGGAGGGGTCTTTTCTCAGTGTTCCATAGCTTCAGAAAGGCCTTTATTTCAGGGAGAGTAATTTGAGGGGACAGAAGGGGAAGTGAGAGATGGAAACAAATTTTTTCACAAGCAATGGAACATTGGCAGCCTGAATTCAAGTGTTGTGAAGTTGTGTTCTTTGTAGTGTATTAATGTGTGAGCTGTGTTTGAATGTTTTCCTGCAGCTGGATGTTCAGAGAGATGTGCCTGCTCTCATGTTTCATGGGATTTGGTTTTATGCTGCAACTTTTCTTTGAGCCCTCATAATTGCTCTGCTTTTCCTGGCTGTTGGTTTTCATGAAACTTGTAGAAACTTTGTTCCTCTTGGGTTTTTTTTTCGCTCTGTCAAACTGGGAGAAAGTTGGCCAACGGGTAAAAGAAAAAAGTTGTTTGGGGGATATGGAGAGACAGGCACACTGCAGGCAGACAGTTTTCAGGCCCACGAGAAGAGAAGCAAATATTGATCTGGTCTCTGTGTGTTCCTGTTGCTCTTTGAAGTGCACAGAGAATAGGGGTATTCTCCTGCTCACTTAAGCAGAGCTGTGCCTCCACAGAGTTCTCAGTTTGGGGCTGCAGGTATGTGTGGTGGGACTGTGATCTGGAGATGAATGCATAAGCTTCAGAAAATGGCTCGGAATCTCAAATCAGAACCACATGTGGCTCCTTCTCCACACAGAGTCAGGGAGAGTCACAGGTGCAGAGGAGAAACCCCCTGACAGGAGAGTTGGTGGCAAATATTCAGTCAAGGAGGTTGACTTGTCCCTCCCGGTCATCCAGTGCCAGCATTTGCACCTCTTTTTCTCCTTAGAGACTGATCCATGTTTTATACCCTATCTCCATAGCTGAGTAGCTGAGACTGCAAATAAACAAGCCCACCTTTCTCTGTGTGACAGAGCCCCAGAGATGGAAACTGTCCAAGAGAAGAACTCCAAAAGCTATTCACAGGGCATTATTTCTGCCTCTACACACCTCTACTCCATATGCCTGGGATTCAGCAAGTCTTAGTATTGAAGTTTGCTGGCTCAGGTCTGTTTGTCAGACTCACAGGGAAGCTGAGACTCAGACTTACAGGAGAATAATGGATTTTTTTAGCTCTAGGTGCACAGAGTTATGACCAAGTTTGGTAGAGAGAAGCTTCTTTGCCTGGGTGTATCTCTTGCCCGTGCTCTGCCAAACTGTGGGACATGGCAGCAATGTTTTAAACATATCACAGCCCATCAAGGAAGGACAGTGGAATCAAGCAGGTGATTTTTTTGCCCCCAACTGTTAATCGCAAAATATGATTATGGGAGAATTTGCAGTATCCCAGTAAAGTACTACATTGTAAACTTTGCTTTTCCATAGGGATGTGTAGAATTTGGAGCCACAGCCTGTTTAGGAAAAGGCCTTATTTATTTGGTTATATGCAGCTTGTGTTGCACTGAATCAGGTCTTTCTTCATGTTAATTAAAACTAGCAAAGAGATTCTTCCTCATGGTTGGTAGAAAACACTAATTACAGAAACCAAAATGCTGAACTGGAATAGAAAAAGGTCCATTCAAAATCGGGCTAGGCCTTGGTTTTTATTGCTTTTCACTATGACACCTTTCTTGGAGTGTTGCCAGCATCTTGGTTTGCAGGACAGAAAGCAGGATAAAAGGGACAATGAATCATAGAATGGTTTGGGTTTCAAGGGACCTTAAAGATCATCTAGTTCCACCCCTCCTGCCACAGACAGGGACACCAAGCAAATGAAAAGAAGTAGCAGAAGAGCAGGAGTGCCACAAGCCAAATTCATGCTCCCTCCAGTTGACTACTTTCAGGTCAGTTTAATTTGCCATGAAAGGCCCAACCAAAGTTTAAGCAGGCATTTTGGGTGTGACTCATGGAGAAGGCCTTTTCTATCACTGAGTCTACAACCTTTAGCCCCCTCCACTCCTTTTATAAATAATGTGCTTTGAGGTGGATCCTATTCTAAGCAGAGGAATAGAAGAGAATATGGTATCCAGTCTGCTTGTAGTGTCATGCAACTGTACGGAAGTGTGGGATAGCTAATTTGGAATTAGAAGTAATTATTAAAGGAGAAAGGTCCAAATTAAGATTAACAGCTGAGCCAGAACTGTTCTATCTCACCTATGGGTCACATCTCTTCTAATTTTCAGGCTTGGGTTGCTAAAATTAGGAGCTTTTTTTTTTTTGGAAATGCTTGTTTTCAGATCAGGCAGTTTGGTGTTAAGGGTTTAGCAGGTTTGAGTATCAAGCCATACAGTAGATGGTTGCAGAAGCTGAAATGGCTAATTGTAGATGCCTGCTTTTGAAAAAATGAATCATTACCTGCATTCAGTTTCTTCATCTCTAGAATAAAGATAATATTTCCCACTATGGCTCTTGGGACTTTGTTATTTTGAATAGATTAGCACGAGACAAAAGCTTTGGATTTTTTGGCCAGGAAAGTGCTATGGAAATACAGTATATTATTGTGATATCCTTTGAGACGTTTCTGTGAAGTCAGTGGTGACTGTCATGATAATAAAGAAAGCCTCAGAGAAGCTAGCAAAATAATGATCCTACTTCCTTTCTAGCTATTCTTTGAAAGGGCAAATGCAATGAGTGATAATGGTTTAATGAGAAAGAGTCATTAGGGCATCCAGCCTGCATCTTTAGAAGTGCAAAGCATTTTGGGAGATCTTAAAATTACTGGGAGAACAAACCCAAAGTAGCTCTGTCAGAATATTAAACTGTTACTTGTATTCTCTTTTAATGCTGATTGAAACCAGTGATCTCTTTCACTGGCTGATGGCTGGTACATATGTAGTCACAAGAGTGGCTTGTTCCTAGCTTCAGGGCTGTTGGAAGGGTGAGATCAAGGAAGTACCTCTGCTTGCCCTCTGTGTGTTATCCTCTGCTTAGAGCTTAGTGTTACTTGAGGATTCCTGACCTGTTGAATCTGCATTTATAGGAGGCCTCATGTACTGGAATTAATTGGCCTGGATTATTCAGTTTTATTAATAAAACTGCTTCAGTTTCAAGCATGGCTGGAGGAGGGAAGCTGTTTTGTTTGTTTGTTTGTTTGTTTGTTTTTTAATTATTATTATTTTTTTTCTTTTTTGTATTGATACCTAGTGAGACAAGAGCTTCAGATACTTCGGAGGGGAAATTTTGATGAAAATACAGTACATTATTGTAATATCCCTTGGGGCGTCTTTGCGAAGCCCAGCAGGTAACAATGCTATGCATTAGTACAAAAAAGTACTTTTGTACACACAAAAAAAGGAGCTAGTATTAGCTCCTTTTATTTAGGATTGAAGAGCTAAACCAGAACACAGGGAAGTTATTTAAGACTTGAACCACACCTGACTGCTGACTGTTCAAAGGAGGAAAGTTTGTTCAACTCATTTAAGGAAAGAACTAGTTACAAAACATTTAGGAATTGTCTTTGAAGAACGCACAGAAGCAAATGTGTTGGAGCCACATCAGTGACAAAGAAAGCTTTGTTCTTTATGAGTTCTTCTACTTGGAAGCTTGAAACCGGAGGCTGTGGCTTGGCCCTTTTGGTGTCACTCTGGACTCCATTAGCAGCAAGGAAAGCAGCAGAGCTGGATGCAGATTCTGGCATTGCTCAGTTTCTGCAGCCACTTGAGCTGCTGGGTGCAGGGGCACTGTTCATTGTGGCTTGGGCCATTTCTCTCCTAGACAGACAAGGAGCAGAAGATTGGTCTCAGGCAGAACCACAAAGCTGTATATGCTAGAGGCTTGCTGAGCCTAGGAATTCAGAAAATTGGTGGAGCGAATTACTGGGAAAGGCGGTGAATTGCTGCATGTTCTCTGATCATCTGTTTGGTAAAAAGCGTGATTGGAGGGGAGCGCAGGGGCCATGGATTCCAATCTTATTAAAATCATAGCTATGAACAGGTAGGCTTTTTGTGAGGGTCTCTCCTTGTCCATCTGCTAAGGGTTGTGTTTGTTCTGTCCCTATGACAGAAGCTGTGTAGTGTTGGGAGCCAGACTCTCCCCACTGTTTGGATGGGGTGGTTGGGCTTTTCATGCAGGTTGTGACCCCTCTCCTAAAGCAAGCTGGTGCTGATCACTCTTCAGGTGTGGTATCCTGTATGAGTTAGCTATTGAGTTGTTCTGGTAGGAGAAATCTTGTTTGTTAGGAAAACAGAGTGTGAAAACAGCAGAGAAGCAGGGCAAAGTGAGGTTTCAAACATGCCCACAAATGAGGAGGAGGAAGCTACAGAAAACCCTCTGTGATGAGGCAGCCCTTTTCCCTAGTCACGAATGGGTAATACCACCCCCAGATCATCTGCTCCTCTGGGTGGGATTTGCTAGTGTAGGGGCCTGAATCTGTAACTCACAAAAATTAAATGCCTGGCACGAAGTAGGATGGGGGTGACTGAGGACTCAAGATGCCAGTTTAGGCACATTTTTATCTAGACATAAGTTCAGCTGTTACAATTCTGAGCCACATTTGGATCCCCATCTCCAAGACAAAAATCAGCCTACCTAAATAAAACTGCTGTTGATGGGTTTAATTTGGATTCTTATGTTGGATTTGTCTGAAAAGAGAATTTGTGCTAAGGATGCTGTTGATATCAGTCCCCTCATTTAGATACCATTTGCAATCCCACACTGGCACATGAGAGCAGAGCCTTTCCCCACAGTCCATCTTCATGGGTGTACCACAGCTACCCAGGTGCTTACGATCAGTTGATACAGACCCTGCCCCAAAGGAGCCAAGTTTTCCTCTCTTTTCTGCTAGCCACTCTGAATGAAATACAAAATCTTGGGGTTTAAGCATCATAATGCTCAAACTGTGACTTTGAGCATCTCTTCACACAGTTATTCTTTTCCCCAGAGCTCTAATAACCACATAAACTCTTTTTGTCTCCTCTTTTCTCCAGGTCAACAGACTATGGCACTACCTATGAAAAGCTAAATGACAAAGTAGGCCTGAAGACTGTGCTGAGCTACCTATATGTCAGTCCCACTAACAAGAGAAAGGTAAGGGAAAGCCATCGAGCTGGTAGCTATAGAAACAAAATTACTGCATTCTGAGAGGAATTATGATCCTAAAGTGAAATCTGGTGGTAATTCACAAGAGCTTGAATTTGCCGCCTAAGTTGCACTAGTATGATTTCACCGAATCTAGTAGAACTGATCCTGTTTTACTTGTGATGAGGATGGAGCATTTAATTCCCAGCTGAATGTGTTAGAGAAATGAAAAGGTTGCTTTTATTTGCTTCTGACTGTTCACCTTTAAAGAAGCTGAACTCACACAAATGTTTCTGGGATTCTTGCTTACACTGGTTTTGGCTAATATACATCTCCCTGCCTTCTGTCTCCTTATTATTAGAAATACTGAGTAAGAGGCATTTATTTCTGCATTTGACTCTTTTTTTCCCTTATGCTTTCCCTAGCTAGAATTTGGAGGTAAAGATGTAAATGACATTTTCACTGGTTGCATCATGTAAGGGGGCTGAAAGCAGAATATGCCTGGGCGAGTGGGTGGGAGACCTACAATTTGATTTGAATGTGTAGGAGAGAAGATGAGGTTACAGCTTTCAAACCCCCTGCTCACGCTTCCCACGTGATGCAATTAGGGCTGCAGCTGGCTCACAGAGCACAGCCCAGGAGTTACTCCTCAGTGCCTTTTGGTTTAAAATTATTGCCTGTGTTGATTCAGGGGAGGTACTGGGACAAAGACGCTTTCAGCAACCCACAGAAATCAGCGTGGGAGGGCTGCAGCACGAAGCTAATTGCTGACAGTGAAGTTGCTTTCAGATGGGGTGCAACCTATTCAGCTTGATCACTTCCAAAGTGCCCATACGCTGTCTCCATCCATAGATTCCGAACTAGTACTTGCTACTTGTACTGTTCTTATTATTACTGTTGTGGTTTCCATCACTGATCAGTCTAGAGAGGTTCTAGGATTGATGTTTATTCCAGTGTATCAGATATAGCTCTGATTATTATGCGTATTTGGATGTACAGGGGGGAGGAAGAATGCAGTGGCCGGGGCTCAGCTTATATTTTTCCTGAAGCAGAAGCTGAATTATTGTGATAACTACCTTGGCTTCTTCCCCCCCTCTCTTTTTATTATTATTATTATTATTATTATTATTATTATTATTATTATTATTATTATTATTATTATTATTATTGGTGGTGGTGGTGATTGTTGCTTTCACTTTTAAATTTGTTTTTGTTTGTTTGTTTTATGAACAAAATGGATTAGGATGTTTTTTAATGTGTTTTCCTGGCCCTCACACCCCTCCCATATTAAATATGGTGAGAATTGAAGAGTTAATTCTTCTTCATTCTGTTTCCAAAGCAACTCTGCCCACCCAAAAGCAGAGGCAATATGCTCGGTTACAAATCCTACGTCACTGGTGTAAAGACTCCCTCAGAAATCAGAGTATGAGGATCTATTATTATCTTCTAGCAATTTCTCAAGCTATCGAGCTTTACAGATTAGCAGTCTTTTCTCTCCTTTTTTTTTTTAATGAAAAACACTGACATTGCATCATATAGTGGCATGCGGATTTCTTGTTTGAGATGACAATTTAAAAGAAATTTTTAGGTCTTCTGTCTTAAGGAAATGATTTTGGACCCACCTGTCCGTCTTTCCCCTTCTCATCCCTTCTGAAAAATCTTATGAAATGTAGAGACAAGCTGTAGGGAAAACTCATAGGAGACCAACTTCAGTGCTGGCTGCCGTGGGAACAATTTTTTTCCATTCTTTCTATCTCTGCAAAATATATAAGCAATGTTACTGTGCATGCTTAGACAGCTTGTCTATCTGAACTCTGCTTTGTCAACCACCAAAGCAATTCCAAACATGCACCGTTTGAAAAATGATTGGAAAAGGTGTCACTGGATTGAAGCACCTGGAATTTGTCAAATTCAGTTTGGGGCTTATTGTCCACCCAATCCCTAATAAGTTCTTGAGGTTGTGCACTGCAAAAAATGCACTCGGATTGTGGTCTTCCTCATCTCTCTGGCTGAATATTGTACCAGTTGCCTGGGGAGTAACCAGAATGTTTTTGCTGAGCGCCTGAGAACAACCTCCAGTAGTGAATCAAAAAACAGCAGGTGAATCAGTTGCATTCCAGCAGAAAAAGTCCAGGTCCCTTGTGTTTCACCTCCAGCAGCAGAAGTGCTGCCTCATTGAACATAATGCAGTGATCTCTTGTGAGCGGCAAAAAACGTCTTTGTTTGTGGCAATAAGTGGGGATGGAGATATCAACAGTAACACACGTGCACAGGGCCTGTGTGCCCACTGTGAACCATGCAGATCCTTTCCAGGCAAGACATTTTCCCCTGAGGCATTCACTCCCAGGTTCTGATTGGACCCTGCATGCCTGGCAGCTTCTGGGCTTGCACATTGTCGCTAGCCCTGTCTTCTCATTAGTGCTTAGAGGATTAGCAGTTACCTGGAGGAGGAGAAAAGCTTTCCATACATTCATTCCTAATTGATTTACTAGTGAGAAGGATAATTACCTCTCAGCTACCCTGCAGAACTGCAGTGGGAATTACCTGTCAGATTTCTTTGAAGACCCAAAATGTCGCTCTTCAGCTGTTAAATAGGAATTACGCATTCAGCCAAATGCCAGTTATATAAACATCACTTACCTGAATTGTGGCATAACCCTGGACTCAGTTATGAGGCAAGGAGGCACTGGCATTTTGCTTTCTTCTTTTAAAAGAAAAGCTTTTTGTTTCTGATTTTTTTTTTTTTTAATTTTGATGGGAATATTTTCAATTTTGTAGCAATCTCTGATTTATTTCTCTGCTCAGTGCTGTCAGGTCACAGCGGGATGCTGATTTCTCAATACCAACATCATCTGTTGCAACACAGGGCCAGAGTTCAAACCCGGAGGCTGAGCGGATGCGTGAGGAATGGCTATAATCCATGTTCTGGGAGCCTTTGCCATTTGCCCTCTTTCTTGCTCCCAAGAAATCCACACCTAATGCATGCCTTACTCTCCTGAACTATGGCACTCCCACACTCTTTTCTTACAAAGTGGATTCCTTCCTGGAAGAAAAATTGAGCTTCATGTAGGAATGATCTGGTGAAATTCTAAAATACTTGCTACATGTGGAGGTCAGACTTGATGATCTAATGGATATTTAGGCCTTGAAGTATTTCATTCTCTTGGGTTTTATTCTGTTGCCAACAGAGTTAACGTCTGAGCACCTGATGTAAAATTGATGGCAGAAGCAAATCCTCCATTAGCTTCATGTGTTAAAGGCTTTCCTCTTTTAAGCTAATACTTCTTGTTTAAGTTTGGTTTATCTATTTAGTCAATTTTGTTCATTTTATATTCTCTTTAGGCTTCCTTATAAATTGCTCAGAATCATGGAATGGGTCAGGTTGGAAGGGAGCACTGGAGATTAATCTAGTCCAACTCCCAGCTGCAGCAGGGTCCCCTAGAGCATGTTACTCAGAATTGCATTCAGCTGACTTTTAAATATCTCCAGAGAAGGAGACTCCCTGGGCAACCTGTTCCAGTGCTCTATCACCTACACAGTGTGTTTAGAATGTGTCTCCCAGCACTAATTGGAGATCCCCATCAGGGTGCTGAGTATTGCCTCTGTCACTATTTGGTGTCTTGCCAAGTATTGAAATGTCTTTCCTGACACAGCAGACTGGAAAATGCTGGAGCAGGCTGGAAGCAGCTGATCTCTCAGTCCTGTTCTTTGCTCCTCAGGGAAACACATCCATTGCTAATGTTTATCAGTCTGCAAAATCACTGATTATGTCTTTTTGCCTGAAGGGGAAAGAGGCAGCTGAGAGGGGAAGAGGTGAAGAAACATAATCTCTATGACTATCACAGTGATAAATCCAGGACAGCTTTGCTTCTCTCTGGGCACCTCTTGGCTTTGCTGGTGCTTGCCACTTGGAGGTCAGATTTAGGCTATGGCTGTTCCTGGGTTTTATACCTTACTGCTGGGTGATATCAACACTCCTCATGCGCAGTTAATCAAGCCAGAGAGCTGTGTGGCAAAGACTGAGATGAGGTGGCTTTGGCTCTGTCTCCACTTGGTGCAAGGCAGCAGCAGAGCTGGGTCCCAGAGTGCCCAGTCCCAGCTGTTACCCCAACCTGCTGGGGGCTGGTCTTGGAGCTGAGATAGGGGCTGTCCATTTTGTAGAAATCACAGAAGGTGTTTGGAAAAGGCACTTTGCCAGTGTGTAATTTGACATTTACAGTTGTAATTAAATCAATATAACAGTATGCAGATATCAAAGGAAGTTGTTGAGACTACTTCTTCCCAGCTGTGATTCCTCTTCTTCTCTGGTATCATTATAAGTGACCAGGCACGTTTGGTGATCTCAGATCACCCGTTATTTGAAACAAGAGCACACTGGTTGCTGACATAAGGAAACTGCTAAACATTCTGCAGCCCACTGTGAATCTGGAGACTTTGGCTGCATCATATTCAAAACACTCCGTGCTGTGAGCCAGGATAACTTCACCTTCCTGTGGAGCTGTTGTACTGCTAATTCCCTTCCCCTAAGAACTAACAAGTTCAGGGTTTCACAGCGCTTTGCAAGTGTGTGGACAGCCTCTGCTGCTGGAAGTTGACACTGCCAGACTTGTATCTGCTCTCTTGCTTGGGCTGTTTCTTCTTTCAGTTGCGCACTGGAGACTTGTGTTTAGATCAGGTAAATCTGCATTTAGCTCTCGTTACTGCTATGGAATTGCAGGTGATCATTAGCCCTAGCAGTCAGACAGCTCTGAAGTCCTGGAGACCGTGGCCTTCTTGAGTTACCATTTTGAGCCCTGGTGAGAAGCTAGGTCCCTCCATGTTGGCACTTCCAACACCATGAAGATGCTCTAAAAGCATCCAGGGCACATCTTCCCCTTTGGTGCATCTACCCACACAGTTGTTTGCCTGAGAGAGAGACCACAAGAGAAGCACCTACTTCGTCCAGTTGCCGAAGGGGTTGCAATTCTGTGGTGAACTTCAGAAAGGAGAAACTTTCATATTTGTTTTGC